AAACGCGGTCTCTCTAAATGTATGTATGCCCCTATTCAGATGTCAGTCTAGAAACTGAACTATTTTACGTTACATATTTAATATTTTAAATACAACGTTTGTTTGCTAAAACTGATTGGAATAGAGAGACGTTAACGTGGAACGTTAACGTACTAGAATATACACGCTACAAGTCAAAATTTCTTTATTCAATATAGGCTTATTGGCTCTTACCTACTGAACGTCAAAGAACTATGACTGCAACAATATAACTTGGGTATAAGGCAGCTTGTCACACGAACAACACCTCGGGTTACGCCTATTCGAGTTCTTGCCAAGCCTCCTTAAAAACTACAACGAACGCCTCGTGATGAATATGCTTTTCACACGCGACGTATCTTTTTGTTGGCAGTAGCAAAATAGATTATATTTAAATAAATGACTTTGATGATAGGCAAACTTTAGTTTAAGTTTAGTAAACTTTAACAATTTCTTGGCCCCAATCTTCTTATCCTTTAAACAAGCAATTCTTGTATATATATATATATATATATATAATCGGAATCTCGGAAACGGCTCATTGCTTTCTTTATTTTTTGTCGATCCAGATGATTTTGTTCGTTCATATTTTCTTATAATAATAAGTCGGTAAGATCGAAAAATATTATGCATATTTCATTACTCAGTAATTTGTATCTAAATGTGATTTCCAAAATACACGATTACCACAAAAAGACAAACCGATCGGTCCTCTTCATACTATAGTATTGAGTATCAAACTAAGTAAAAGTATTACTTTTACTCTATTCAGTGTTTTCTTTCAACGCCTTCATTGGAACAAGCCGGCACAAACCTAAATAATACGTTAGGCATTAGACATTAGCCGTGGAGAACTCTAAGCCACTTGAATATGTAAGGTTTTATTTTACTTGCGAACCTCTTTGCCTTAGTTTTTGTGGAATAAAATTAAGTTTCAATCAATAAATGCTACTTAAAATAATATGTCTGACAATCAGCAGGGGGATCACGTAGTGGACTATACCCTATGATACACTGTACAGAGGAGGCCTCTACCCAGCAGTGGAACTTGTATAAGCTGATACTTTACTTTTTATTTTTACTCTACTTTAAATATGACTCTATTTTATAAGTGTGCAGTCTTAAGGCAGAAATGGTTATCACTGCCATAAACAAAACAATGTTAAACAGTTATTTATAATATATATTGTGGGACATCCCAAAAACCACGCACAGTAGAGTTTCAAAGCCTAAACATAACTTTGAGTTTCATCTCACTGACGATTGATCAAAATCAATTTGATTTCAGACTATTTACACCAGGAGTGTCTCAGTTCCATTAAATAATGGTGCCCCTACGCTAATGTCATCTTCAAAGCCCCCTATGATTGATGAGCCGTATTTGTTCCGCGCGTCTCCTTAACCGAGCCGGGGCGCTGCGGTGTGCCGGCACCCGAGCGACGCCAAGTTAAATTTGACGTTACATGCAAGGTGAGATAAATAACTGACGCGGCATATCGCTTCAAGTTTATTCTATAAAGGTGCAGTGGAAGGCTTTTATGAGGACTACATCGTCCTATAAAACGAATACGAGCTTGGATATAGTAAGAAGACGGTGAAATTTTTAGAATGTTTTTTAAAAGCGTGACTTTAATTGTAAAATATGTAGGTAGCTGATAATTAAACAATGAACTGACAGTAGTTACTATCTACTAAATCAAGTTTCCTTTTCGTTCAGTTCTTTTCGAACGCGTAATCAAAGAATTATCGGTGTCTAAATAACAAGGAGTTTGAGGATTTTTTGATCTTCGTAATTATCTAAACTTAACTCAGAGACAACTATTCAAATTGAAATTTCAAAATATCTTTATTCACGTAGACGAGAAATACATAGAAATTAATACGTTCGAAGGTTACTGCCGTAATACGTTAACTAGGTAGCTTATCTGCGACTAATAACTACCTACTAATCTTTCAAACTTAAATAGTTACCGATTCCAATGAAAAACCTCTCTCCATTAAAAATCTCATTCAAATGCGTTCAATAATTTCGACGTCCAAAGATTCCACAAAATCACATTGTAACTTACTCAAATGAATCTATGACATACGTCGATTTATATTGCGATAAAGATAACTGACTAATCTCATGGCGTGAAGAAATATTCCTTCGGTTTGAGAGAGCCACGCATAGACTGACATACAGAAAGATAATTTAGTACGTCATGAGGTACCTGAGACCATGGCTAGTCCGTCTGATGTTATGGATTTTAATAGGCATTTGAGATCACTTCCTACAGTTTGTTAAATATACGATGATACGCGGGACATTGACATTAATAAATCTAAGTGACATTACGAAATAAAGTACCACATTGTGTTACGTAAATATTAATTCCAACAGCATTCTGATTGTGTTACGTACATTTTTTGTTTAAAAAATACGGAACTACATACACGAGATCCATATTTGTATGTCAATGTCTGGTAAAACTTTAAGATCATGTAACAGCAAACTGGCGTCTTCTTAAAAAAAAATATTAACCATTATTAAAATTTATCCATCCGGGCAGTAGCCGTTACATTATAAACGCAATACAAGCCAACGGTATTTCGAGTGATTGGATGGATTTTATCGGCAACCGTAAAAATTTTACGCCCTACACCTGCCGTCTACGGCTGATATGATGGGGGTGTGATACGTTTGTTTTATTTCGTTCCATCCCCTTTATTAGGGCGGCAAGGTTCGATACGTCGCGAATATTGGGTGTTTTATTGCACGCGAATCACGTAATGGCCGATGTTATGGTTTTTAATGAACTACAATCGAAGATTTTGAACAAAAGTAGCATAGTTTTTGCTTTATGTTGAAAGGAAGGACTTCAAGAACACCAGACGGGTCGCAGATGCATTGCCAACGTTAAAAAAGTGAGCCTCGGTTACCTCACTCACCAGACGAAAAGCGAAAGTATAGAACATAGTTCCACTTTACGCCGGTCTTCTGTGACGCGACGCAATGTCTGTGACTCGACATTTCAGTTCGCCAGTTCTTTAAAAAGTTACACTTTTTGTGTATTGGAATATCAGTGCAACATCCTGGTATCGGCAACCTTATTAAGGGATAATGATATCTTGTATTTACGCGAATACAACACAAAATGTAACAACTTAACATTGCATGTGAACTTTTCGAAAGATGCGATAAGATCCGTCGAAATATCACTTATCATACATATTAGACATATTAATGTGGTCAATTTGAACAATAGTGTCAATTTGACCACATTTGACCACTTTTGATTTCGCATCAAAGTTTTATACAAAAAGTTTCAATGAGTCATTCACCTTTAAGATGCACCATCCAAGTCTAAAAAACTATTTGGAAGAAAGTATCGACTGTCGTGAAAGTTGCATTTAGATGATCTATTTACGTTCAAGCTTGTCCTCAAAAATTTCAAAATGGCATAATTATTTAAAAGAAAAGCAGCGTCAGTTAAAGCGCCCCTCCTACCGGGTTCCCGCCTTTCTATGGCGGAAGGGCTCAGCAGCCGTGACTATGTCCGCCACGAAGCCAAGATAGGCTCCTTGTATCTTGTATTAACTGATGTTTTTGCTTTCAGTCCCGAGACTATTAAAGCTTCATCTTACCGGTGGGCTAGCCAGAACACACGGGTTTGGGCCCTCCGCTGTGGGTGGGGCCGCGATGCATGCGTGCGTTTAACTATGGTATGTCCTCTAATCGCCATCAGATACGCTCCCTATACTGGGTCGGTCTGTTGCGGAAGGCCGGCTCGAGAGGGCTCGCTGACATCCGTGTGCGGAAGACAGGCTGAAGGTGCTAGAGATGCTCTTTTCACTGACTCTTCACTGCAACCGAGGTGGACTCAAAGGGGAGGAGGATTGTCGTTATTTCTTCTGGCCAATCTGCCAATCCCAAGCAATGTTGAGACCACGGTATCGGAGTATCGGTATTGCGATGTGCCATTCTCAATACTCTCCGTTACCGAGACGCGATGAGCGGCGGAGCCACAGAAGGTCCACCGTTGGGCGCCGGAAGGAGACTTTATCAGGAGACCATTCGCAGTAACTCTAACGGCTCCCATAGATAGTGGGCTTGGGGAGTGTCGGATGTTTATCAGTTATCTAGTACCCATAGTACAGACGTTGCTTAGTTCGGGATTAGAGAACGTTGTGTAAAAATGTGTCGTATTTTCTTTAATTTATTTACATATATACATATTAAGGAAGTTATGCTAAAAAAAACAATCGAATTGAGAGATTGCTCTTTATTTGAGTTCGGTTGAAAAATAAAACTCCAAACATATCGATAATTGAAAATGTTTATTTATAACGTAACATGACATTAGGAATGATTTGTTGTATTACTAATACATTAAAATTAACAGATTGTATAAAAATAACGCCATTTTTAACACCAAACCTTAGTAGGTATATTGTTTGCCATCAGAAATAATAACTATAATAAAAATAATTTAAGACCATATTATAATAAATCGTATTAAATGATATAACTTTGAAATAATGAATGAAAGTGATTTTTTATTATATAAATTGTACACAACCTTATTTCTTTAAGCCTTTCATATAAAAAACTATGTATTCATCCATCGTACGTAGGAATACATATTATATTGCAAACGAAACAAGCTTTTTTGTACTAGTTAATGTTAATAAAATGGAATAAAATCCATAGAATTCGAAATGTGCTTATCAAAATGTGATTCTCGGATCAGCAAAGGCGCAATTAGAAACAACCTTTGCGTTTCCATAACGCATACGAAACCGCATTAGTACTCTTGGTGGTTGAACGTCGTCGATTTGCGGAATCGACAATTTCCACCAGATTCCGCGACTTCGAACCGATTCCGTTCGTTTCCGCGCCCGCTTCCACTCACTCCCGCCCACCTAAGCCGATTTCCGCACAATTCCGCCCACTTCCACACACTTCCGCCAACTTCCGCCCGCTTCCGGCGTGGCGTTCACAGCGCGGCGAGCACCGCGGCCCGCTCGGCGGCGCTGAAGTGCAGCACGGCCGCGATGGCGTTCAGCATGTGGGATCGCCCACCGCCCCCACCGCCACCGGCCCCACCGCCCAGCAAATAGGCGAGCACCACGTTCTTCAGGTACTCCAGGTTGGCGCCCTCACGGGACTGGCTTCGCCTCAGCCTGGACAAGGGGCGTTGCAAATAAGAATGTGCGACACAACTACCTCGATCCGATCGTCAAAGAGAGAGTATAGATAGCAAGAGAAACGGGTGCGAGTCGGACTCGCGAACGAAAGATTCTGCAACGTTCTATGAAAACGGCAAAAAATCAGGTAGAGCCACGCAGCAGCCTCGGCTGTTGCACGAATGGGCAGGCTCGTCCGGGTAAGTACCACGACCTCACAGAAGACCGGCGTAAAGTGGAAGTATGACAAATACTTTCGCGTTTCGTCTGGTGAGTGAGGTAGCCGGAGCCCAATTTCCAAAAAGGTTGTCAACGCATCTGCAAACCCTCGGGTGTAGCAGATGTCTATGGGCGGCGGTATTCACTTAACATCAGGTGAACCGTCTGCTCGTTTGGCAACTTTTCACATAAAAAAAAAAAAAAAAAAAAAAAAATAATCATGTCTACTGTATGAGCCTTAAAAATTGACGTATTTTTTTTCAGTGAAAGGAAATTACTTGCAGAACTACTACAATTAAGACCTACACAACTTTCATAAGACTCATTAGCATGTAGAGTAAAATGACGGTATTCATTTCAATCTACACAAGGCAGGGACGGTTAATAGGAAACGATGATAATTTTAGTTTCGTTATAAACACGATCAATATTTTTCTATTCAATCTCAATCAATGGAATAATAAATTAATAACTAAATATTATTTTATAGGGAAAAAAACAGCAATGACCGGACGGAGATGACTGCTCAAGCATTGATATGAGCGGATTCGCAAACTCAGAGATTCAGATTAAAAATAAAACGATATTTTGCAAACATCTGTTTTACTAACCATAGATACTATTTTTTTAGACGTCACAATATGGCGAGAGTGTGTGCACATTCTTATTGAAACGTGTAGTGTATGCGGTGTTCGCTCTGTTTCCTTGTCTCTTCTTTTCGACAACATAAATAATATTTTCAACACCCTTACGTATAAAACTGTAACGTAAAGTATATGAATGGGTTTAATGAATTTGAAAGAGACAAAACATACTGTTAGAAGGAGAGGCTTGTAATTCGACGCTGTGGCAACGAATGAAAAAGTCTCTGAATGTATGAATCAGTCAGTTGTAGTTGTATAGGATGATACAAATTTTGTTTCTTTTTATTTAATTAGTTTGTTTGAAAAATATTTTTTATTGTGGACTTTTTAACGTTTATATTTTTTTATGATTATTGGCAAGTAGCGTTAGACGTATGTTCATTTATTGTCGCGGTTATAAAGACACGCTATATATATATAATATGCATTTATTTACAAAAGTTAAGTATGTTTATCAGTTATCTAGTACCCATAAATCAAGCGTTGCTTAGTTTGGGACGAGAGAACGTTGTGTGAAAAATGTGTCGGAAGTATTTATTATTATCATTGACTAGAAGAGAAATAATTTTGAACAAAAAAAACCCGACTTCAAACAGGAAAGTAATAAAACATTATCAACGCCTATAACATTTGAGGATTGCCCTCGATTTATCTGGGATTCCATCATCAGATCCGCGTTTCCTTATCATGGTACCACCCTTGGGATATCTCCTTTCCAACAAAAAAAGAATCATCAAAATCCTTTCATCAATGACGAAGTTATCCCCAAACACACATGAAATAAAAATATATACGGTCGAATTGAGAAAAAAGGAGGAGCCTTTTTAAAGTCGGTTAAAAAATACCTGTCAATCTCCTCCTTCAAGGTTCTTATAACTTCTTTGAATCTCTCTTTTTCAATTGTCGCCTCGCGCTGACAGTCTCTGAAAGAGAAACATTTCATCATGCTTAATGGAAAACTTCACATATTTTCTTAGTTGTGTATACGGGTGAAGTCTGTTTTAAAACAATATAAAGAGAGAAATAAAAAAATATAAAGACAATTAATAATTATAGTTTCAAACTATTAATTATTGTTGTTTCCAAAAACTATAACCAATAATTGTTATGAACTATAATTACAAATATTTATTTTGGTTTCCAAAAACCGGAAAACAACTTACTTAAGTGCTGGAAAGAGAATTTATTTATTTTTATTGCGTTTAAGTCTGCCAAAATTTGTATTTTCAGCAACATAAACAAAAATTTCTTACCAAAAACGTAATAATTTTATGTCAAATGTAAGAATATAAGTGAATATTAGTCTGACATAATTTGACGCATACGTGACACTTAATTTTTTTCAATTATAAACTGCAGCTTCAACTAATTCTGAACTATGGTCAAAAAATAATGGTCAATCAAAGAGGGCCGCTTAAAGCGAATTTTATGAACGTTTTTATTAGATGTCTAACTAACTGGAGTTACTTACGCCACAACAAGTTACTTTGGCGCAAGTGGTCGTGGGTTCGATTCCTGAAGTATCTAAAGTAGAGCTGTCGAGTTCCACTCGGTTTATTTGTGTTGTTAACAATTTCCGGAAGTACCACGACCTCACATAAGACCGGCGTGAAGTGGAAATGATAGTAATAAATATAATTAGATTTAAATTCATATGGCGCTAATCTCTGCACTCGAGGTTAAACCATTTAAATTTGTAGAAAAAGTACGAAAAGTTTTTCGTTGCCGTGAGAATCGAACCCACGTATTCGGGATTCAAGCCCCTAACGTTTAAGCCACACAGTGAGGTAACCGGAGCCAGCTTTGGCAACGCATCTGCTAGCCCACGGGTGTTGCAAATGTCCACGGAGGGCGGTCACATCGCTTGCCGCCTTCTCACATAAAAAATGACATTTCGCTCGTAAAATTGTCTCCCCCGTAATAACCTGTATTGGCCTTCCAGGGCGTGCTTTTCCCTCCGCAGCTGTGAAATGTCCAGGTCCCTCCGCGCCAGCTCGTGCGAATAGTGCAGCATGTGGGCCGGCCCATCGGACAGCGCCCCCTGGCGGAAGGGATTCGATTCAAATGTCTCTATCCAATATTACAGCGTGTCGTTACCATCGCGACAATAAATGAACACACGTCTAACGTTACTTGCCAATAGTCATAAAAAAATATTGTCGTTAAACAAAATCCATAATTAAAAAAAATATTTTTAAAACAAACCAATTAAGTAGAAAAGAAACAAAATTTGTAACATCCTATACAACTCGCGCCACAGCGTCGCATTACAAGCCTCTCCTTCTAACAGTATGTTTTGTCTCTTGTAAATTCATTCAACCCATTCATATGCTTTGTGACCTTTACAAATGAACTTTACGTTACAGTTTTATACGGTAAGGGTGTTCAAAAATTGTTTGTTTTGGAAAATTTAATAACTCGTTAAATATTGATGTTTAAATAATGTAAATTAAACATTTAAAACAAGTTTAAAAAGCTATCCTCAATATGTGTGTTCATTTATTGTCGCGGTGGTGACGACACGCTGTAGAAGCGTCGGTGAGTGTGTACCGCAGTTGCCGAGGTATTGGCTTCGGCGTCGGCGGTCGTGGATCCGATTGGCACACGGGACAAGTATTTGTGTGACCAACAGATAGTTGTTCCGGATATGGGTGTTTGTTTCCCAAGGAGGGTCGTAAAAAACAAAGCCAAAATCGTTTACGACATGATTCACAAGTTGGGCCCCACCTAGATGGGATAAAGGGTGATGATTACATAGATTCAAACAACAATAGCACCCTTGTAAACTTTGGGAAGTTTTCTTAAGAGTTTTCTCACTCGACGGTACATGCAGAACATCCGGATCCAACTTCATCCAGGCGTGAGTTTAAGGGTTTTATAGGAGAGAGCGCTTAGCGGCAGTTTTGGATGGGGATTTCGACTGCGTTGCTTTCTTTGGGAACAAAGATCCCTTTATTGCGCTACTTTTGCATTCGACGGTAGGTACATGATGAACAAGTGGAGGCAATTTCACGCAGGCACGCGTTTTAGAAGACCTATATACAAAGGAAAGCACCGGCAGAGCGGGCAGCAAGCAAGAGTGCGCACAAAAGCGAGCGGCGGAATGGGGGCGGTGTACAGTCGCGAACAGTTTAACGTATATGCGTTTATCAAGCGACTTGTGCACGCGACCATAATACAGGCCAGCTCACGACTAGGTGGAGTACAGTCGCGAACAGCTTTGCGTAGACTATTTCATCGAGCGACTTGTGCACGCGAACAGCTTTGCGAGACTATTTCATCGAGCGACTTGTGCACGCGACGGTGCAGGGCAGCTCACCGGCAGCGCGGGCTGCGGCTGGAGGCCTCGCGGTGTCTGCGGGCCGTGAGCGTAGACTTGTGCACGCGACGGTACAAATAACGCGTGGTGATTGGGACCGTGACTAGGTGGAGTACAGTCGCGAACAGCTTTGCGTAGACTATTACATCGAGCGACTTGTGCACGCGACGGTGCAGGGCAGCTCACCGGCAGCGCGGGCTGCGGCTGGAGGCCTCGCGGTGTCTGCGGGCCGTGAGCGTAGACTTGTGCACGCGACGGTACAAATAACGCGTGGTGATTGGGACCGTGACTAGGTGGAGTACAGTCGCGAACAGCTTTGCGTAGACTATTTCATCGAGCGACTTGTGCACGCGACAGTACAAATAACGCGTGGTGATTGGGACCGTGACTAGGTGGAGTACAGTCGCGAACAGCTTTGCGTAGACTATTTCATTAAGCGATTTGTGCGCGCGATGGTAATACAGGCTAGCTCACCGGACCGGCAGAGCGGGCAGCATAACATGAGAGCGCACAAAAGCGAGCGGCGGAATGGGACGGGTGGAGTACAGTCGCGAACTGCTTAGCGTATTTTGCGTAGATATATTTGCTAAGTGAGTTGAGCTTGTGGGGTTGCGACCGTGCACGCGACGGTGCAGGGCAGCTCACCGGCAGGGCGGGCTGCGGCTGGGGCGAGGCCTCGCGGTGCCTGCGGGCCGTGAGCTGGGCGTCGCTCTCCTGCAGCAGCTGGGCGCACCTCTCCCGCTGCGCCCGCAACTGCTGCTCGGACGAGAGCAACCTCCGCCTCAGCTCGGATACAGTCTCCTCGTTCCGCTCCCTCTCCTTCAATAATTTCTGCAATTCGAACAATAGTTTATGAGAATATTGATAATAAATATTCCTGACACATTTGTACACAACTTTCTCTAGTCCAAATCTAAGCAACGCATGTACTATGGGTACTGCGTTCAGCATACAATATTTTTGCCAGTAGTGGGCATCGCACCTGTCGCTCTCTAGAGCAAGAGGCAGGTTAACTACTCCCCACGCCAATCGGGTCATCTATTTGTTTAGTCTAGTTAGTTTATTTATTTATTTATTTACACTTTATTGTACACCAAAAACATAAATTGCAAATTACAAATAAATACAAAGGTAGTAAAATAGGTGATCTTATCGCTCCGAAAGCGATTTCACCGGGACAACCATTGCGAAAAGAATTTCTAGTTGTTAGATCTGCAAAGCTAAAACTCTTTGACGCAGTTGCCATGTTTCTCGCTCCGGGGTCGTGGGTTCGATTCCCACACGATACAACAAGTGTGACCCACAGATAATTGTATCGGATCTGGGTGTTTGCTCATGTGAAATTTATGTATGTAAAACATCATTTTTTTATATGAGAAGGTGGCAAGTGATTGCCGCCGCCCATGGACAAACCTGAGCGGTTGCAGTTATTATTATTTATAATATTGACACGTTTATTGCAACTTACATACTGTTTTTTTTACAGTGTACTTATTATTAACATTTTCCGATATTTTTTTTATAGTTGCATTTGCCGCAATTATAATTTAAAGGTGATATCTCATATGAGTGGATGTTTAAACTTATATGAAATAAAGCTCTTAAAAGCAAAGTCGAGTTCAACTAGTTTTACAACTTCAAAGCCATCACCTCTTCGCAGGCTTTGATCGACTGCTCCCATTCCCGTCTCTCCTCGTCCAGCATGAGCCTGTACGCTTGCTCCTGCTCCCTGAGCATCGCCAGCTCTTCGCGGAGCGACTCCATCTCCTCCAGATCCTCTCTCCTGGCGCCTTCACCCTTTAAGGCTCCACCCCTGGACGCTTCGAGCTCGGCTTTAATCTTCTGCAGCTCAGCCCTGCACCCCTCGTGGGGGTCTCCGTAGGACTCCGCGCAGAAGACCGTCGCCATGTCTACTGGGCCGCCCATCTTCTCGTTCTCCGCTATCAGCTCCTTTTTCAGGATGTGGATCCTGTCGATCAGCGTGCGAAGATACTCGCTGTCGGCGAGCTTCTCGCTGTCCGTCTCGCTGCGGGTGGGGGGCTCGTCTGCGACAATCGTAAAGGATTATGAGACGACGAACATGTTTTCTTTTATGTGAGAGTGTCAAACGAGCTGGCGATTCACCCAATGTCAAGTGATGACCACCTCCCGTGGCACGTTTAGTAAAGTGGGCCCCAGCTACCTCACTCGCCTTCTTCTTGCTCCTGCTCTTATTTCGCACCAGGTGCGGTCGGCACAACATGTCCTTTCATTTCACTTTCCTCTATCAGCCGTACATCCAAACAGAGCAAGGGCATTTTCCGCAATAGCTCGCTAACCTTATCTTCCACTAACCACTAATTATACATATCATGATGACTCCATGGAGCGGTTTGCCAAAATATTGGCTTCGGCGTCGGGTTGTCGTGGGTTCGATTCCCACACGGGACAACTACTAGCGTGATCCACGTGTTATATACAGCGTGTCTTTACAATCGCGACAATAAATGAACACACATACAGAGAATAACTTTTTAAAATTGTATTAAAAATTTACATTGTTTAAACATCAATATTTACCGAGTTATTAAATTTTCCAAAACCAAGAATTTTAGAACACCCTTACGTATAAAACTGTATCGTAAAGTTCATTTGTAAAGGTCACAAATCATATGAATGAGTTGAATGAATTTAAAAGAGATAAAACATACTGTTAGAAGGAGACACTTGTAATGCGACGCTATGGCAAAGAATGAAAAAGTCTCTGAAAGTATGAATCAGTCAGTTGTAATTGTATAGGATGTTACAAATTTTGTTTCTTTTTTACGTAATTAGTTTGTTTGAAAAATATTTATTTAATGATGTATTTTTTAAAGTTAATATTTTTTTATGATTATTGGCAAGTAGTGTTAGAGGTGTGTTCATTTATTGTCGCCGTTGTAACGACACTCTGTATAGTCGCTTCGGATCTGGGTGTTTGTCCGCGTGTTTGTGAAACGTCGTCACAACACAGGACAACGTTACAGTCCTGAGGGGCAGACTGTCCTCGTGTTTGTGTTTCACCGACCTCGTCTGCTGGCGACCTTGTCCAGGAGGCTGCCGTTGAGCGTCTCCTTCAGCTGCTGGATGGTCTGCTGGTCTTTCCTCCTCATCGAGTCGTACTCCCCGATGGTCTGCGAGAGCTCCGCGAGCCTCGCCTCCAGCAGCGCCACCCTCTCCTCCTGGCGGGCGCACGTTTTCCTCGCGGCCTCCTCGGCGCGTTTCACTTTGATCTGCTCCTGGAATGTTCAGTTGGTCTCACTTTAGAGGCGCTCTTTTGTATTCGAAATTGAATATCATTACTTCCTTACTAATATTATAAACGCGAAAGTTTGCGTGTATGGATGGATGTTTGTTACTCTTTCTTTACATCAGAATAAAAGATAGGCTATGATTTATATAATATATGACATATTTTATGTATATCTGTCTTTCTCTATGAATGTTACGCCTTCAGCCTATTCTACGCAGACGTAGTCGCGAGCAGCTGCTAGTATTTCATATTTTATTGAAGTGAAACTTCAAAAGCAACTTACAACAAAGGTTGTGTTAAACGTTCAACGCTACCGTGGAGGGGGTGTGAAAGCACTGTTGCGTTAAACGTTCAACGCTCCTGGGGAGGGGGAATAGAAAGAGACAGAGCGAGAGTGAATGCGTGGCAATCGAAGTTTCACTTCTTCCGCGCGGAGGGACTCCGAGCACTATTTTATTATAATTTTTTTTTTTAATTTTATTTTAGCCACACAAAGTATAATGCGGTCAAGTTAGTGTTGGCAACTAAGAACGCAATTATATTAATTTCGTAACTATATGAACGCTGTAAAGGGTTCGGAATGTTGGGAATTAAAATTTATAAAATAAACGCGATAAATACGTAAACATAGTTTAATTTAATAATCAAATTTAGTTTAATTTAATAATAAAGTGTAATCGCGTAAATACAAGAAATTATCAATCACATTAATATTAGGTTGGCGATGTTTTATTTATCTGTCCATTTGTAAATGCTTGTAACCTTCAGGTCCTATACGATATTACCAATATACGTCAAATTTAATTTTATTATAAATATTCACGTCTTTATAGCAACGCGTAATACTGCAGTCCAGTTAGCACTGGCCATTGGCAGAATCTATACTATAATAAAAGAGCAGAATCGGCTCTCTGTACATTGAATATATTTATGAAAAAAATGAAAAAGGGTATATATATATATAAAAAGTGTTATAGGAAACATAAATACCATTTTTGGAATTTTTGTCTGTCTGTCTGTCTGTCTGTTAGCGATAAACTTCAAAACTACTTATCGGATTTTGATGCCGGTTTTCACTGGCTACAGTACCTAGGCTTTGGTTTCATCTCTAACGGGAGATGTGGGAGTTTTAAGATTAAAGCAGTACAGTCGCAAACAGTTATCACAGTTATCCTACTGGACTAATTTGTATGGTGTTTTTGTAAGTATTCAAGATTACTTCTGTGCAACATTAAAGCTTTGTTTTATTGCAATTGGATCACTAAAAAAGCTATCTGAATACTCACAAAACATAGGATCGATTTTAACGGGGTATTTGACAGAGTGACAGTACAACTTCCTCGCAATATTTAAGTATCGTTTGATAGTAATTAGCTCACTTAAACAGAATATACACGTTATTAGCTACTGGATCAATTGGAACAGTTTTTAATTTTTTTTCAAATGTCATAGTAGCTCTCAATACAAAAAATACACTTCCATAAAAATGTACTATCAGTGACAAAATGTTAACCACGATAACGTGAATTTTCAGTTTCATAATAACTTTTTTTGTTATTTATCAACAAATTCTTCAATTAATAGAATTACAGTCCAGCATAGGTAAGTTACGATAAGATAAGGAATTAGTTCCCATGCAAAAACTAGATAGCGTTGTTCTTCATAAAATGCGCTGTATACATATTTTCACAAGTTAGTTAAGGGACAAGCGCCGACCATTTGGATTATTAATAATAATAATGCGAATTTCTTCTATTGAGATTTATACGATAGGTACGATTTTAGTTTTGCTCCGTATAGGGATATTCTTGATGTTGGTTTGCGATTTGGTTAGTTGTTACGAACAGTAGTGGATTTCTCTACCGGCCGCGTACTCGACGGGCCAAATGTAAATTAGTGCAAATTAGTGGGGCCTTTTAGTAGCATTGCTTGCCTTTCGCCTTTCGCTTCTTTGCGTAGGCGATATTCCATGAAAATTATAACAAATCAAGCGAGCCTGATAAGTAGGTACCATTCGTCGGCTCCATAATATCATGTACTAACTTTCTTTGTTTAATTTTTTGTGCCTTCCAGCGCGTCTTTTCTCTTAATCTTTAATGAGCCTAGGGCGACCAACGGACAAATATGTCACTGTTTAGGAATTTGGTTAGGCTAGGATATTCAGATATTATTTTGCTTTGTGGTTTGGAAATTATGTTGTTGTGTGTTTTGTCACTGACCCACAAATTGTATCTGATATTTTTTTTGTAATTAAGATACTTATTTTGTAGTATTTTCTAAATAATTGAACGGACTAAAGCGAAGACATAAATACCTCACAGAAGCGTTCTTATCTCTGGTCTCAAAAACATAAGTTGCGGTTGACATAATATAAAACATAAGTCGGTGTAAAATTGGGCAATGGCGGATTCCATTTTCAACTTCATATAAACGTAACTTCTCTACAAAGGCACATAATTCAAGCTGAGATTGTCACTGGGTGTGGCTCAGACAATATTGTGTTTATTTCGCGAATACCACTCGCTAAATCACTGACCATTTCGCAGTTGTCAAGGCATTGCCTTCGGCGTGGGTTAGATTCTCACACGGGACAATTATTTGTGTGACCCATAGTAATTCTCCAGTAACTAAATCTATCTGTAGATAGAATATTGAAACCGGCCGTTAGTTAATGACAGAGAAAAAGTGTTCCTACCAACCCACCGCCAATAAAGACAACATGGAAAAAGTGTTCCCCGACCCACCCCCAATAAAGACAACATAGAAAAAGTGTTCCCCGACCCACGCCTAACAAAAACAACATAGAAAAAATGTTCCCCGACCCACCCCCAATAAAGACAACATGGAAAAAGTGTTCCCCGACCCACACCTAATAAAGACAACATAGAAAAAGTTTTCCACAACCAACCCCCAATAAAGAAAACATGGAAAAAGTGTTCCCCGACCCACCTCCCGCAGCGCGACCGAGTGCGAGCGCTCCAGCAGCGCCAGCTTGCCGTGCAGGCTGCGCAGCAGCGCGGGCGTGTCCTGGGCGCGCGCCTCCGCCCTCTGCAGCCGGCGCCTCGCCGCCTCCAGCGACGCGTTCAGCTCGCGCACCCTCGCCTCCAGCTCGGGCTGCGACCTCTCCGGGCCGCCGGCCTCTGCGCAGCGCGGCGGAAAAGGGGACCCTTGTGGGTACATTCTGTCGGCCGTGTCTCTCGATTTTCATGAACGAGTACCGGACGGGGAAACTTCCGAGAAATAAGGAAAAAACTCCACTGGCCGTCTCTCTGACCGTGCGTCGCCGGCGATTTTCTCGGGAACAAATACCGGACGGGAAAAATTACGAAGAATAAAAAAGAAAGTTGAATATCAAATTGAATTTTGGTACTTACAAGTTTTGGCGAAAATCTAAATTAGAGTTGCATTATAAAGTTATATTTTAACGTGTTGACTCGGGACCTTGATTTTTATACACCTAATAAAAACTATAGACCTCAGTATCTGGTATTAATTTCAACTTACTAGGACTGAGAAATTCGGTGCTAATTATTTACCAATTTTATTATGGCAGTATAGAGGATAGGTGCCGAAGCCTCGGCGTACGAGTTCGACTCGCACTTGACCGTTTTTTTTGGGTTCCATAACCAAAGGGTAAAACGGAACCCTATTACTAAGACTCCGCCATCTGACTGTCGATTTTTGGCTGTCAGTGTTGAAAAATTTTACTCTCATATTTTTTTCCAAAGGCACCAGGAGAATTAGAACTTCACAATGCAACTGTTGCCAAAATAATAATTTAATTTATTTTAGTATAAAATATAACAATTTTACTTATAATAAGAAAGTTACTCTATTTCGATGTTTGTAAATAGACCTGAGGTTAACAAACATAAAAGAGTAGTATAGTATTTTAGATCCTCCTACTTTAAATCTGTTGAAAATACCAAAATCGACCGCCAGAAGCGGTATACATCGTTTAGTATCAATCTCGGTGTGAGAGCACAGACGCACAATCATGCTTTGATTAATTAAAGCAAAATAAATATTTCATAACATATTTACACAACGTTTTGTGTAAATATGTTATGAACTTTACTTTTATTTTTATAAACAGACATTAAAAAAATACTACATTCATCACACAATGTTTTTCCATTAGTGGGAATCGAACCCACAGCCTACAGCAAAAGACAGGTTCAACAAACTACGCCAACAGAGTCGTGTACATCCTCGTTATGCATTTGATTCGTGTTGCGGGGCAAATGTGTATGTAATGTATACATTTATTGTAATGTTTTGTATATACGTCATAACCTTAATTATTACCTAAAGAATAGTGACAGACATAAAATAAACACTAGAAATAAGGACAAACTTACTACGCCATTGTTTCGTCTACAAAAAGTAAATAAGTCGTTCATGGGGCAAAGTGTGCGCATGTATAATAAAATCCCACAGTCGATATTAAGTCTGCCGCTTGACCAATTTAAATGTAAAATTAAAAATCAACTGATGATTAAAGCATATTATACCATTTCGGAATATCTCGACGACGCCAATGTGTGGAGTTAATACTGTTGATACTCACGTAGGCTAGAATAAGACTATTATACCTGTATATTATATTGTACCCTGATATTTTTGAAAAAGAGCAACTGTTGAGTTTCTTGCCGGTCTCTTCTCAACAGAAACCGCTTTCCGAACCGGTGGTACCTTACGAACCTATACACATAATCTTTGATGTAAAATTTGACGATTCATAAGAGCGCGCAAGCGTCTATTTGAATAAATATATTTTGATTGATTTTGATTTTGATGTGTGAGTGATTTTTGTACTAGATAGCGTTACCCCATAGACGCAGATTCCTGTGAGGGTGAAAATTTTTCCTTCAATAAATTGACACAATCTCAAAAAATGTATATTAAACTAAAATCTGTCAAAACGCAAGTCTGTTCAATCACACCTTGGTCCTCTGTGCTGTGGACAGCCTTGTCCTCTAACTTCTCTTTGGTTCTCCTCTCCGATGTTAATTTCATATTCAGCTCTCTGAAACGGAAAGAATATGAATATTATAGTTTTAAATGTGTAGAATTTTTAATGAAAAATTTTTAACTACCCCTTCCAGGTAAATTGCCATATACACTAAACTTGCCAAACGGCACATATCTTCACCGCTTAAAAATAAAATTTAATATAGTACAAAAATTACGTAAGTTTTTGGACAAACAAATCATAACTATTAGACCTGAACGAAAAACTTTTCGTCCTAATTAACAGAATAAATGTATCCTGTGATAATTCAAGCTTACAAATCATTTTATTTGAAATTTTATTCAATAAAAAAATTTGATTTGTACTAACTTCAACATTGCAGTGTGATTTGCCCTCTCTTTCTCTCTCTCCTGTATTTCATAAGAAATTTTTGCTTTCAAATTGCCCACCTCTATTTGATGCTGTTGTATTAATGTTTTGTTTTCTTCCCTGATAGCAGTAAGCATGTTTTCATACTGAAAATTATTAAAACATACAAATATTGTTATACATATATTACATTAGAATATATTACAACAAGGAATTATTTCGCTTAGAAAAAGCTAAACATGTTTTGATAGAATTGTTCATTGTTTAATTTCACGTCACATTAACATAAATGGTCAAAATAAACACTGCATGAAATGTTTGCAAACTAGAAATTTGTCTGCGCTTATAGAATATTTGTTTTTCTAATTTTTAGTGCTAATCTCTGAACTTAAGATAAAACACAAGAATGTTAAATAAAATTGTCACATAACTTTTGCACCGCTCCCAGTTTTGCAACAGTTTTATCTAAACATTTTAAAATATTATCTTAAATTCGGAGACACACTAAAAATTAAAGGAATTATATCAGTTTACCATAAAGAAACTACTCTAGGATCTTGCATTAAAATTAACAGTGGATTTTTAATACAATCCACTTTTTTAACAAAAAACACAGACTATAAGTAAAAGTAAAGTAAAGTAACAGCCAATACATGTCCCACTGCTGGGCAAAGGCCTCCTCTATACAGAGGGTATCAGGGCATAGTCCACCACGCGGCACCACTGCGGATTGGCGGACTTCACATATTTTCGAAATATATATTTTTTGTTATTATTTCGAAAATATGCAGGTTTCCTCACGATGTTTTCCTTCACAGCGGAGCACGTGATAAGTCAGCACTTAAAGTTAAAAAACTTCATTGGTGCCGGTACCGGGGATCGAACTCAGGTTGCTTGAGTATATTGAATTAAAGGCGAGCGCCCGGACACTGAGCTATCACGGCTCTTGACTATAAGTATTTGTAAATATTGGTAGTTAAAACACACCTTCTCCCTAGTCACTTTCTTATCAGCTTGGAAAGCTTCCTCCATACGAGACTTCTCAGCGGTTAATGTTGCTAGAGACTGTGTAAGAGCAGCCACAGAGTCCTTTGAGTCTGTAAGATAAACTCTTTCATATTCAATGATATACACAGCCATGCATTTCATGAAACAGTAATAGAAATCCAGTACACTATACACTTTCACATACCAAAAGTTTTAAAGATACAAAAGTATCAGCCTATACATGTCCCACTGCTGGGCAAAGGCCTCCTCTTACAGAGGGTATCAGGGCATAGTCCTGCACGCGGCCCCACTGAGGATTGGCCGACTTCATACATCTTCGAAATATATTTATATATATTTTTTTGTTATTATTTTGAAAATATGCAGGTTTCCTTGCAATGTTTTCCTTCAACGTTGACCATGTGATAATTCAGCACTTAAAATTGACAATTTCATTGGTGCTGGCACCAGGGATCGAACTCAGGTTGCTCGAGTATATTAAATTAAAGGCGAGCGCCCGGACACTGAGCTATGACGGCTTAAAGATACAAATCAATGATCAAATTATAAATACCTTCATTGGAAGATTCTTCATTACTTAAAGCCTTTAAACTAGCCTCCAAGGCATCTTTTTCCTTTATTAGACCTTTGTATGCAGCGACGACATCTGTAAATTTAATTTTTTTTTTATTTGTTTTTCTACGTGTTTTGTGATTTAGATGTAAATATTTCTAAAATATCTTCCAACACGTAAATAGGTAGCACTAAGGTAAAATATTATACTTCACATTTTTCTTTTGACAAAAGTAAAAAACAAAACTTACCTCTAAGTCTCGCCTCATACCGTTTAATTTGATCAGCTTGTTTTGTTATTGTCGATATTAACTCTTGCTTTGAAAGTGACTCCATTTTGTTTTAATGCACTTTTCTATAAATTCAATATAAGTTTATAAACAGTATATGAACTATAGCAATTTTTAAAGTCGTAATACAAGTATTACGTTAATTTGGCTAAGTAAACTCTTCAGTGTATATTACATAGTAAATATAAAACAATCACAGGCTACAGGCATTTCGTATTCTTCTTATGTAAATACCACCTACACAATGAATTATTAAACTATTAAGTAAATAGATAATGCCGTTTCAAAATTCAACTCTGCATTTTGCAATTTGATTTGCAATTTGCAAACATATTGTAAGTAATTAAGTATGTACTATGTATGTAGTAGGAAATATGAATAGGATTGTATGTCAACAGTGTCAACGTCATCATAATGTCAAAGAATGGTGTAGCCACTTAAGAAATTATTTTCCTCCTAATGAGCTTTTATAAAATTAACTGTCTGCTTTTTATCACTATATAATTCTCACCTATTAATAAAAAAGGAGCATTACCATTTAAATTATTGGAAGCTCACTATTATCTATTTCTTATTTTAAATGTTAATGAAATATTAGTAGGCATTAAGAAAAGCTTGAAGTAGGTGTACATATCGTATGTTCTATAACCATACTATATTTTTGTAATTTTATCTGATATAGAATGTAAAAAGTAGTTTCAATTTCTATGGTTTTGTTTACAAAATTACTTCAAAGCTGATAACTTTAATCAATATTTTTTTTTAAGAAAAAAGCGAACTGCAGTACTCTTGAAAAGAAGATGTTTGAGATGTGAACATTACAATTCAATTATTCCCTTAACTATTTATATGTATATTCCACTTAAATTTAGTCAAATAAATCCGTTGTTTTAATCATTATATGTGTATGCGGTGTTCGCTTAATTTTAATAAATGTTAACAGCTCTAAAATCTTCAAAATGAGAACTAACACCTTCTCTTTTAAGCTGTTTGAAGAGAGTCATCGCTTATCAAACTTTAAATAATAAATACCTTTTAGTTATTTGCTAAACATTAATAGTACAATAAGCCATTTGTTACTTAATAGTTAAGTCGATTTGTTGGCGAGTCGACTGGTTTTTATCTGGTAATTTTTTATAACATAGTAATATTCAAGAGTTCTTTTATATCTGAAACATCAGAATTTTATATATCTGGTAATATTCTTGGCCAATAGCAACACTATACCCTATACTTTTAAATTATCCTTTCAAAGTTGAACCCTTCTGAATTCAACGTATAGAAAGTTATATTTAACTTAATTAAAACTTAATTAGCTACGAACCATTTTATTTAAACATAGTAAATGTGATCCTTCGGATCGGATATGAACCAACAACCCATAGAACAAAAATAATACTTTATCGATTTGTAGGGATAGTTTGTTTGATCTACCACTAGAGACGTAAATGGTTCATAAAGTCAATACGTCTGAAAGGAAAATACCTGATAAACAAATCCCCAGTAGGAAGATTACTTAAAAGTTGTATATTGATATCTTGTTTTTACTCATTTAACCTTGAACGTTACAACTTCTTTTATTTTATATTTGTACAAATAGCACTGCTTTATTGCAAAACATTGTACTTATATTTATTGTACTTTGTAATACAACCATCGTTAAAATTAAAATATATATATTATAAACTATCAACAGACACCAGCGGTTATAAGAGAATAGCGATAAATGTACAAGAAACTTTATTTAAATAATAATAATTCGAGCTTAACTTTTTTAAGAAATACGTTTTTCCTACATAGATTACGGCAACCAGAACATTATTTATAAAAAGTATACAATATTAACTAGACTCTTACTTAAGAAATGAGATGTAGGTTAAAAAGTAAAAAACGTTTGTATTTTCAAGACTTTTAATCTTCAGTTATTCTGTTTGCCATGCACGACGATGTCATAAGTAACCAACAATATATAATATCAATATTTGGCAATATAGCCAATAAACCATTAAAATATATTTTAAAAATAACCAATTTAAAATGTATAACTTAAGTAACTTTTAACATTTTTGGTGAGGAAAATGGGCTAAAAGCAAATTTGACCAATTTTATCATTTATTTTAGAAGCATCATCATTCATCATCAGGGCCAAAATATTTATGATCAAGATCAAGATGTACTTTTTTTTAAATACTTCTGTCAATGGTTTGTTATGATAATAAAAACTCACTTTTTATTTGATTTTCGCAATTTATTTAATTTTCAGTAAGTATATTATTTTTGTTAAAATATTTGCAGTTTTAAAAAGTTTGGTAGGGAGAACCATTTTTTTCTATCCTCATGTGTATCATCCCCCTGTATCTGGACCACATCCAGTTTGTTGATCGTGAGCGGGGGTCGTTGAACTTTATTTAGGGTGACATGACTTCATACACCCCTCGGCAAAATTGCTACTGTGTTAATAAATACGACTGTTCAAAATATCCCTCCAATCGAGTTCACGGATGTCTCTTTCGTTCCAGTTTAAGCAGATACTAGTGAATAAAATACTATATTTAAAATGTTTTTCACTAACAAAACATAAGGTACTTAGATAAGATAAGGTAATGTTAAAATACCAAATATTAATTGCAACATTTGAGGAACATATTGTAAAATCACATTAAAGTGTAATAGTACAGTACCTACACATTAAATTCACCAGTACTCGTAAGAAGAAAAGACATAGTTTTAAGTTATTCGATTTGTTTAATCATATCTGGGTGAATCAACAGCGTTAATAACGCTTTTAGAATAATCCTTCTATGCGCTATGCAATAAAAGACATAGTATTACAATTATATGAAATAAAAATATTATTACAACAAAATAACCATTATCACAAACTGAATCATCGAAAATGGTGTTCAATTTTCTTACCACCGCAAAGCACATCCACAAAACTGACCGCTCTATTGATCCGTGAATTAGGTATTCAAATTCTATCCGCCGAGTTAAAACTTTCAGCTCCATTATTTAAGGGAATATAACTCTTATACTGAACTACCTAAAGCTCAATTGGTTAAATCTTTAGATTTTTAGATTATATTAAAAACGCATTTTAGGCGTTGACTTGGATATTTTTCGTATTAAAAATAATTAAATCAAATAAAGAATCTAATTATAAAAATTTCATCAATACTTGCAATATTAATAACCCCAAAACTTTATGTGACACATTTAAATACTACATTAACAAGAAAATTGCACTACCGTTTGTAAACTACTTTTTAGAGAGAGAGAAAGGTATACGGTTTAGTTTTGAGTCATACACATAGCTAAACCACGGCAACCATGACAGCTTGTCTGTTAATGAATAATTTTAATATATTTATCACTTTATAAATGCTACTCGCCTGCTTGTTAACATAAATGGATCTTCACTTAGACTTCTAGAATTTTAACCTTTAGGTACTTAGATATCGAATAATTACGATTGATAAATCTGAAGATTCGGAGTTCAGAAAAGAAGCGGCCTCTGATTAATATAGATTAAATACATAAATATGTCTGACTTTCAAACTGTTACGTTCAGACACTTTCTCCTTATAATCACTTAAAGTGTAAATAACGTCAAATAAATTCTCCGATGCTACAACGGTTTTAATTAAGAACGACGGCAGACATAGGTATTAGTGCCATTGCATGATGAATCTTTCAATTTTTTTAAGAACTTGTTAAGACTTAGTCTTAACTTAGGAATAGAGTAGATAATAAACAGGGACTAGTAGAAATAACGTTATAGTTTTTTTTTATTATTCCGTTGTAACAAACCCGAATAGGTGCTTAAAATATTGTCCTGTACCTACAATAAGCGTCAGGTAAAAACATAGTGGCAATACAACGCTAAAAGAGTTGCTAAGGAGCTACCAGCGATTCTTTTAATTTTTTTATAATTTATTAATTTAACGTTAAATAAATGCATCAAATTCTATATAATATACATAAATATTTCGGACACATTTTAACACAACGTTCTCTAGTCAAAAAACCTAAGCATCGCTTGTACTATCGATACTAGAAAACTGATAGACATAGTTAAACATACTTTTTTTTGTAAATAAATACATATTTAAACACCCAGAAACTGGAAAAACACTATGTTCACCACACAATATTTTTCCAGTAGGGGTCCCACCGGATCGAACCCACATCCTCTAGCGTAAAACGCACTAGTGCACATTAAGCGTGGTCAGTATTCGACTAGACCTAAGTTGTTTTAAAACAGTTTTGAGGATCACAACTGTTTTAAAACAGGACTATTTGTCTATTGTCCACCAGCAATGCTTAGTTTTATAATACTCACGCCCAGTTGCTGAAACACTGATCATACAAATGAACTAATCAGCTGTCAAATGGCTTTTTAACCGACTTCAAAAAGAAGGAGGTTATCAATTCGGATGTTTCTGTTTTCTTTTTTATGTATGTTTGGGCATAACTTTGTCATATAGAGACGGATTTGCGATATTCTGTTCTTTGTTCGAAAGGATTTGAGTCCAAAATGGTCCCATATAAATTTCATATAGATCTGATGATGATTTTCGGGGATAGCAGCTCTTCGAAATATGACAGGAAATCAACCGCACTGGCTGCTATCGCATAAATATGCATTGTTTTGCATGTAACGTTGTAATAGTTACGTAAGTACATTTTATTTGAAGTCGGTTCTTTTTTTGTTAGAACACTTTTTATCAGATATCAGAAAGGTTTTCTTTATGATCAGAATGACCAATTCAAATAGTTTAACGATTCTTTTGGCAACTCAAATGACATTCGAAAAGCCATTTGAAAGCTTATTAGTTAATTTCTAAGATGATCAGTGTTTCAGGAACCGGGCGCCAGTCATCTTGGTATTACTCAATCAACGGAAGCGTCATGAGGTCCGCGCTGCGGGCGTTAAGACTGAGAGAGAGTTAATAGACTTTCTATTCGATGGCGGCGGCGCACGCCAGTCCGTTATGAGTGCAAAAATATTTGACGTCGCGGAAAAACTGCTGGCATAGACCTGTT